TAAAGAAACAAACATGGACCCGTTATCCGGAGGCTTATTTGTAATGTTCAGATTAAACTCTGAAAGATGAAGTGCAGCATCGATCACACTGCATTTTACTGATTATCTCAGAAAACGCTATTTGCATTTCTGAATACTGAATTGACAAAATGTAGGTCAACTTTGGTTTTTTAAAGGCGTGTTAAACTTCTGAACACTTTAGTTAAGTCACTGCATTGAAGGAAATATGAATTTGAGATGACAGGCACTATGAAGAAATGACAATGCTGCACCTTACAGACACGGGCTGAATATTAGATATTCATGCAAATTATCACTGCCGCTACTGCCAGGACACTTCAGCTTGTTAGCTGCTACCCTAAATCAAATCTTGGGTTACTACAGGTTACTACGGTCTCCCTGAAACACAAAACCTACTGTATGGTTGCTCTGGTTTCATGTAACAACTATGTCATTAGTTAATGATTTAAAATTTTACCCTCTGTGAGCAAGTCACATTCCAATGTAGTGCTGGTGTGGTTTCCACTTTTTTTTTTTTCTTCAAATGCTACTCTAAAGTGAAAATCTGTAGTTACTGTTATAAAACTTTGTTGAGATAATGTCTCAGGAAGATACACAGAACGTCAAATGTCTGAGCACTCTGAATCCTGATGATGTAATGGCAAAAAATAGTATTTTAAATGCTTTCATATCATTTCAAAATGCCTTTTTATTGAAGACACAATTAAAGATACTTAGTTTGGTTTTTAACTTGAGACCTTAAGAACTTGTTATTTTAAATGATAATGGATATTGGTCTCATTGCTGGTTTTTCCAAATTTATCTGAAAGAAAGGAAGGCAAAAAAGTTTGCCTGTTTGTGAAAACATCCTCAGCGAATTACATGGTTCATTAAAAAAAAAAAGTATTATTAAGGTTCCACTGTGAACATTTTTCAAGTAATTTATTGCAGAAGAAAATTCACTTCTGTAGGGACACTAAAACATTCAGGTACTCTTAAAAAAAACAGAAAATAGATGCTCAGCTCATTCACTTCTGTAGGGACACTAAAACATTCCGGTACTCTTAAAAAACCCAGAAAATAGATGCTCAGCTGACAGACAAATTTTATAGAAAACAGGAAAGATACATCTGAAGAGAGTAAACAACACCCCAGCCTGAAGGACTCGGCACCTGAAGAAGGACTGGACTATTATTAGGCTACTACTGAACTTGGCACATGGAAACAGCCAAGAATTTGCCTCATTCATGAGGATCAAATTAAAGCATGGAGGTAAAAAAGGGAAAAGACCTGTCAGCATTCCACTGTTTCCTACAGATTTAACTGTATAGATTTCACATTAGAGGTCACTGTTCCACTAATTAATACGAATTAATACTTAGAAAATAAAGTTGATTTTATCTGTAGAACTGATTATACGGAGATTCAGATTTTCTTTGTACTTTTTTATTCTATTTTTTCATCGTTGCTCACATCTATCGCTGATGCCACAAACCCCTTTTCACATCCTTAAGTCTCTATTTTAATTTCAAGCTACAAGTCCTGTTAATGCTTCCAATTTCCAGAAGTGCCAAATGACCACGACGTCAAATATTTCTGCGAAGAACTACTATTTTCATTGCTTAAAAACCTACTAGGGAATTAAATTCTCCGTGAATTTAGTACTCAAAATATTTTTAATCAGCTACATATCGCTTCCAAATGGGAGAAGGCAAGTTTCTATTTCCCAGAACTAATTTAATGACATAGATAGGGACCAAAATCCTCCAGCAGCATGAACACCACAGGCATTTCAGAACAAACATTACAATAATAATAAAATATGATTGTAGCAACTTTCCATGCTCAGCTTTCATTTCGACAGACAACTAAATACAGTGCACCACCATGTGGCAATGTATTCAGAAATGCTTCATGTACCAAGATCTGGTTTTTTTCCACTTTCAAAATTTTTTATTTTTTAAATTTTTATTTGTTAAAAATGAATGTTAATAACTACAGCTTAGTATTTATAAGCTCCTCTTTAACAAGTTGTCACAGCTTCACTTATCTCAAAAGCTAGATTTTAATACATGTGGATTAGTCAGAAAATATTCTGGCATTTTTATTTGTAAAGCACAATATTTACCTAAAAACATATTTCCCCCCTGACCAGAGAACAGCTCTGTTTCTTGCCAATTGTGCTCCCTTGCACAAGAGAGATTGGGCATAAGCATTAACTGCACGTCAAACTCATTTTAAAACACATTAAAAAAAAAATCAAGCTAAATGCTGGACTCATGGCTGATTAAAAGCTTAAAAAAAATCAAACACTTGAAGGTACACACATGCATTATTTAGCAGTTGCTCAGCTACTCTAAAACTGCTTCTCTCCAGCTTAATAACAAGAAAAAAAATCCATTCTCTCCACGAGAAACACCAACAGAAGGTCCCCAAACCCCTACGAAAACCCTGATTCCCAAAGCCACTACATGTCATTTACTACCTTGGCACAGATTTCTGCAGCCAAACGCTAAACTTGGAGGAAAAAGTAGGTTTCCATTAAACTGGGCAGCCTTTGCTCATGGAATATAATGCTGTATTTACAAAATTCCAGAAGACAGGCTCAGGTGGTTCTTGTACTTGTTAAATAAAGAGTTAATTCATTATGCCATAACACATTTGTTAGCCATTTTGTACCAATACATTCCGTTCAACTCGAATTAGCAGCAAAGACTCGCTTTAAACATCAGTCTCCCACTCAGCACCTCTCTGTATTCACCATGTCAGCTTCGGGCTCTCTCGTAGCTCACCAGACCCAAAGGCTTTGCTAAAACTATTAAGAAATCTAACAGAAAATGGGGTGACGCGAGATGCAACCGCGCGAAGAAGGTAAGGTAGCGCAACGGGTTTTCACAAGCTCCGTACCTCGAGCAGTGGGAAAACCTGTAGTGGAAGAGGGAAGAGCAAACAGCACTCTCCTTCCGGAGCCCAGGACGGACAGACCTCCAATTCTCCTCCTGCAAAAGTTGCTCTGGCGTGACTGGAGAGCCCCATCACAGAGCACACAGTCAATCCAAAGCATGCACTTTAACCACATTAAAAAAAGGAAAAAAATAAATTAATCTACCTCCTGTATTAAGATCACGCTGAAGTCTCATCTCAAACTCCAGCCACCCTCCTTCCACTCTCCCCCAGCCCACCCTTGCAAACACGCAGCCCAAAAAGCCCCCGTGATGCAATTAAGACCATCGTGATTTTCTGCCAGAGACAAACCAAGAGCAAGAACACAATGCACATTATGCAAGTTACTGCAGAGTTATGCAAGTTATATGCATATTTTCGCTACGCAGGGTAGCTCACTGCACTGAGGACTCTGAAGACACTTGTTTGATGTGGATGCTTACTCTCACTTTGAGCTGTCAAATTCTCCTCTACTTGTCTCAACTGGCTTTTTTACACTAAAATTCCAACCAACTGCCAAGATATTAATGAAGCTCTTCCAGTACATACAATAGTATAGGCTGGTAAGACCACAACAACATCTGAGCAGTTATCATCTCAGTCTGCTCCAAACCACGACTGAGGAGACATCGCAGGCAGAGCACCAGCACCTTACTTACTACAGGTACCCCACACTCAGCGTTGCCAAAAACGGAGGAAAACAACAGAAATCTCGAGACAAACAAGGCCTCACGGTGGAAGTATCACTTCACAAGTGACAGGAATTGGAGAGTTACATAAGCACTCCTATACCGAACAAAAAAATAATTTTTCATTCAAACACCTCCCAGCCTAATAGTTTTTTTTTTTTTTTTAAAAATCTACCTCCATACTACTTCTGCAGTCAGCACTGGTGTGATGAGAAGACCAGGATTTCACGTACAGCCTTTCATCTGAAAGCAACAGGGACCAACTTCTCCAATGATACAGGACTCCTCACTATTTACAGGATGAGCCACAGAAAAATGGAAGCTTTCTGGATATTAAAAGCATTGATTTTAGGGGGAGATACATCCATCTACAAAACCTTTTTTAGAAGACCACTCGAAGGTCTATTACAATACCTACTAGGCAACATCGCCACACACTCAGCATTTCTAACTTCTGCCATTTCTCCCCTTTTTAGGAGCACTGCCTACAACAGCATAAACTCAGGATCCAAATAACTTCCCAAATCCGTGAACAATCACAAAGAACTTCCCAGAACTTGAACCCCGCCGCTTACCCGTACCTTTCTCATCGCCAGCTGCAAGGACACAACCAACAGCCCAAGACCCCTCTGAGCTTCCAAAAGGAAACAAGGTTAAGGGCAATCGGCAATGTCTAGACTTTTGCAGAGAAGCAGCTCCTTTGGCCAGGCTTGATTTACCTTATTGTGGAATAAAACGTAACCTAAGTGGGATGGTTTACGCAAGCAACAACTATTTATCTACCGAGTAAATAGAGCCCGCTTTCAAAAGTAGCCCGTGTTTCTTTCCAAGACGCATGACTATCCTCCAACAAACCTGAAAGCTACACAGAACATAAATGTGAGGCAGGGAGAAATACAGGAAAGCAGAGAGAAATGAGGAAATCCTTTTCTGCCAAAAAATGAAGGGGGGGGAATAAAATCTTTACAGCTGAGATTTCAAAACCTCCCAAGACATCCAGCACAGGTATCCTTTCCCTGAAGCAGGGCACTAACTGCAAAGTGACAACCTTACAAAGTTACCTTGGGGACCCTCAAGGAACAAGAGTGTTTTATTTAAATAACGACGGATTAAACTCCATATTTAAACACTGTAACAAGTTCTCAGCTGTAACCAGCAAGCAGTTTCAAAGACCTTCATGCAAATATCTTCATCCCACAAAAAAAAAACAAAAAAACCCAACGCCAACAAGCCCTCCTCTATTCCCAGCAGCCTAGAGAGAGGATTAAACGCTCGCTGAAGAATGCAAGTTATTACTACGTGGATTTTTAAGGAGCAAATTCCAGAAAAAAAAAAAAAAAAAAGGGAGGAAAAGAGAAGGCAGCTTACCTTTATCCTGAGTGCAGGACAGGATCTCCTCCTCTTTGGGGTTAGTCACCTGGGTGATAATGGACGGGTTGTCCATGGAAACAGAGTGAGATTTCACCTGGCTATTTCCCTCCCAGAGGCAGGCTTGTGTGCGGGGGGGGGCGATTTGTTTGTTTGTTTAAAAATCAATATGCAGATTTGTATTTAAAAAA